ACCATATACGATAGGAAAATTTTTTTTACCAAAGTGGGTCTAAGCAAACATAAATAACGAAATTTTCGCTACTGCAGATGTTTCTGTGTCAATCAGAAGTGATATCATAAATTTTCTGTTTGTGAAACTTTATTTTCTGGTTATGGAATATCCTTAGTCACTGTTAAGTGTACAATCGATCCAAACTATCAACGAACACTCGACAAGTACTCCGAAATTTGAAAAGCGCGACCAAAATTACCACATGTAACCAGCGAAGTTATAAACCTTATCATGACCAGTGGACCATTTGTATTTTCGAAACCGCGACGGAAAGCAATGGTTGTCAGAAAAAGAATTTGACCACACGATGAATTTGGTAATTACCCAACCATCAATCGGCCCATAGGCATCTCCCTCATACATGGCGCTTAAAAATGACAGTAACGTTTGACGTCCAACTGATGACTATGAAAGACTGATTACCGAAACATCGAGAGTAAGAATGTGGCGGACACTCGGGGTTCGACAGTGCGTTTGCCAGTGAAATCATTTTGTGGTCAAAATTCCAGCTAGACCGGAAGTCACGAATGAAGTTGGTTCATATATTGGCAAGTGCATGGTCTAGACCGGTTGTTTTTGCGAAGGTTGAGTATTCATACTTCAACATTGCGTCACCCAGGTGCATCTGTCGAATACGGTGTAGGACAAACAGTTCCTAGTAGGTATAAGACAAAACAAATAATTCATCATTGAAATAAAATAATAGATAGTTTTGCTCATTCGTACTACTTCCTTGAGCTGATGTAATAAAATCCTCAATGAGAATGGTCAAGCTGTAGTTTTCAGAAAAACTTACAAAAACTCAAACACTTCAAGATTTACACCAAAAATACAAAAACACGGTCTATTTCGTTAGAGATGACTTTCATAATTTTCATGCATTGGCACATTACGTAAACATGCGAACAGATGGAGAGTGCGTTACACTACACTCGCCCAAGTGAACTCAACAACTTCTAATACGAGGTGTTCGTAATGAATAAATGCATTTCAGGTTGCTGAAACAGAATGTGGTGTCCTGTGGAAATTTCGGGATGCATGATGAAACGACGACGAAAAACAAAATATGTTATGTGTGATTCTGCACCAAAGTTTATAAAAACACTGTAAGCACGACCGGATACATTGTATTTGGGACTTGTGATAATCATAAAAGAAGTTTAGACAAGCAATAATTACATTTAAATGTCACAAATTCCACTAGATGTTACTGTATGTTCACATAAATTATTCTAAGTACGAAATTTCTAGCATCCTCAATACTGGATAGATACACTCACTTCCGACTCTTAAGAGGATGTGTATTTGCACAAAATACTGAGATTCATAGACAAATAAATCTGAACAAATAGATTCCGGCCACAACAGAGTTAGCATAGGGGGGTTTCGTAAAGATTTTTGTGATTCTATGGTTTAATTCATGAGTCTTTCGTGCCTTAGGGTAACCCTCGTGCTATTGATAGAAGAAACCAGACATGTAGTGAATAGGTCTTTATTTCGATATTAGCGCAGTCACAGTCAAGCGTGGGATTATTTGTTCAGCCAAACAAAGCCTCTCAACATTCAGTATAAGATAATAGGAAATATAACGCCCATGCAATATGAGGAAGTGAATGAATACTTGACCTATACTATTTTGGCAGATGCTTGGTTGTTTGAGGTCAACTCTTAATCAACCAACATATGCTGTTACAAGTTCATTATATCTAGACCACCATGGCAAACCAGGAAGCGTCGGATGACCGTTTCGTTCTAGCATAGGACTACTCAGCGGTGAGCATCCACGATCCTGCACCGCGAGATTCTGACGCAGGACCTATCGGTCAGACTTTTTAAACATGGAATACAGTTCAAGGCGATATACGGTACATAATTCAGTAACGCGAAAAGTATGATATACAAATATATATGATAGCTTTGTAAGTGATCTGTCACCGTGAAGGTTGACTAAATAGAAATGAAATATCAGGCGAGGAATTGTGTATGTTTTTTTGAACAGTCAGTGTGTTATACAAATAGAGAGTGTGTATCTGAAAGGTTTAAAGTAAAAATAGAAAATCAATTTGGTAGACACATCGGATATGAGAACTAAAAAATAAAAAAATCGGAATATGACAAAATTTGTTTACAAAGTGAATCCTGTTAAGCTTTAGCATATAAACATAGTTGTAGGGAATATCGAACGTACAAACTCTCAACGAGAAAATATTCTTATGGCTTACTATAACAATCCTTCCATGTACAATCCCGAGTTTGAGACTTTTTATGAGTCGATAAGAGGTACAGTGTGACGAATTGAAGTAATTGAGCAATAGTGCTATAAACTAATTATCGAAATTGTGCAATTTACAGCAAGTAGGACCAGATGAGCATAAACGAACGCATCTTCTTTGGAATTCGAAATCAGGCACACACCAAGCATGAAGGAATTCTGGGGCCAGTAAAATTTCACTGAGCCCCAGCCAAATCATCTGGCAGTTGGGTCACTGAATGTTGAATGGTTCATCGATCCCCGTCAAGGTCGAGGTCAACCAACGCGCATCAGTTAACCGTATTGCATGCCATGGACTGGCCTATTCGGTGTTAGTTACGCTTTCGCTTGTACATACTCTGACGAATATATTTCTGTAATAATATCCTTTGTGTTATACGACCTTCGAAGCAGCAATATTATCTTGATATCACAAAAGGGTAAACCACTTTATGTGCTGACTGCGAGGTGTGACTTCGAGGTTAGCTCTTAGTCACACCATTATCGCCTAGCTCGAGTTAAGTGCAAATCGTCCGACATAGGTCATCTACGTTAGTGATCCACAGAATCATTAGTTCACAGAGACACTATGAACTCTAAGCCTACGCTGGGATATAAGTCTGTGTAATCAATTGAAGGTCCTTTACGTATGTTCACTGAATGTCTGTCAGACTGTGTATTGAATACAGACTCTGTATGATCTAGAATATGCTCACTAGTATTAGAAATAACAACCCAAATCAGAATGGAATCATCTGAGCCCTGGGATTGTATACGATTACCATGTCGGTTGTGTACTGAAATTACCGTTATGTTGAAGTTGAGCCATAGATTTTCTCACACTATTCCCTCCCACCAAACAATGTTGAATCTTCATACTCCCAAGTTGTAAATGATGTGGCGTCATTCAAAACATAGTCCGCATATTGACTAGAGTGTTCATTAGACATAACTTCATGATGAGGATATACAAAATTCGCCATGAAGTCATCCGAACTGTAGTCAAAATCGAGCTAATCTAGGATTCGTGGTTCGTACTGAACACGTTCCCCACAAGAAAAAATTAGAACAGATAACAATTGATATGACATCAGGACTTGATTCTTCTGGAACATTTTCCTCGAGTTTCTTATGAGCTTCACTGGAAAATAATGGATTACTAAAACGATCAGCATCTATCAGAAGTGCATCAGATTTTCGATTGCGATTTGATTCACTCAACATATTTTAATAAGAAATATGTGAATCGTTAGGACAAGCCATATCTAGTACATTAGCGTGAGAAATCCGTTAGAAAGTTGATTAACTAGCAGCTTTTGACGCTCAGTGATTCTAACTTTCACTTGATGCATTTATATTCATCGTGTTACTCCAATATTGATCGGAATACGGGTATCTCCAGATTTCTCGACAAATACGACGTGAAACATAAGCTTGTATTGACTGGAGTTCACTTTTAGTTTCATACGATGCTAAAAACGTACCTAATTACTTACTTACGCCTGTTACTTCTCATGGAGGATCATAGGCCACTCCCCAGCATTCGCCATCCAACCCTCTCTTAGGCAATCCTTTCCAGCTCCTTCCAGTTGTTATTCATCCTTTTCATATCTGATTCGATTTTCCGACGTTATATGTTCTATGACCTTCCTCTTTTACGCTTACCTTCAGGATTCCATGTTATGTCTTGCTTTGTAATGCAATTTGATGATTTCCCTAATGTATGTCCTATCCATTTCCACCGTCTTTTCCTAATTTCTTCTTTAGCTGGAACCTCGTTTGTTCTTTCTCATAGTAGGCTGTTACTGATGGTATCCGACCAATGGATGTGGAGTATCCTGCGTAGATAACTATTTACAGATTCTCGTATATTTTTGATGATAATTGTAGTAGTTCTCGAAGTTTCAGCTCCTCACATTAGAACTGCCTTGACATTCGTATTGAAGATTCTCACTCTGATATTGGTTGAAAGTTGTTTTGAGTTCCATATGTTCTCAAACTGTAGGAACGCGGCTCTTGCTTTGCCAATCCTCACCTTTACGACTGCATCTGATTCTCCTTGTTCATCGATGATGCTCCACAAGTATGTGGAAATATTGTGCCTCCTATGGCCAATTTGTTGAATGCACAGAGATTTACAAATCTCTCCCCATTTTCGTTTCTCTCTCCCAGTCCATATCGTCCGATGATATCTTCATATCCGCTGTTGTCTATTCCGACTTTAGCATTTAGATCTCCCATCAGAATGGTGAGGTCGTGTGGTGTTTGAATGAACCAATGATACCTTTGTACTTGTTGAATGCTCGATTTCGAATTCCAAATACAATACATTCGCTTGTGCTTGTGTCTTAATTCTTAATTCAATTGCGTTAATTCTGGGATTCCTAGTTCATAATGCAATTCAAATAAGTGAAATATTATATTGGCGTAACGAGCAGGATTCGAACCTGCGCGGGGAAACCCCATTGGATTTCCAATTCGCTGGACAAACTTCGCCATGTTTCTCAAAGAAAATAAAAGCATCCAAAAGACGAATCGCTTCATCAACTGATCTCCCTACAGGGCGATCGTTAACAGTAATTTGATGTAAAATCCCGTTGCGGTCAATGAGGAACATACCTCTGAATGCATGACCTTCCTGTTCGTCAAGAACCTCGTACGCTCGTGATATCCTTAGGTTTTTATCGGACAGCAAAGGTATATTCATTTACCCCAAACCACCAGCTTTGCGATCCAATTTCATCCATGCTAAATGAGCATAGACTGAGTCAGTTGAGCATGCGATTACTTGACATTCTCTAGATTGGAACTCAGCAGCTCTTTCACTAAATGCAATTAGTTCCGTTGGACAAACAAAAGTGAAGTCAAGTGGATAAAATACCAAAAACACATATCCATGAAATTGACTCGAACTAATTGGACGCAATTCCGTGCCAACAACGGCAGTGCCTTCAAAATTAGGAGCAGGCTGATTTGGTAATAACATGTTTGTTTAAATAAAATATCCCAGACGTACGGAGATCTAAGTAAATTATGACGATGACATGAATGCGTCCTCTGTATTTAAACACTTCGTTAATTCTGGGATTCCTAGTTCATGATACAATTCAAATAATTGAAATATTATAGGTCGTTTCTTGAGCACTCCTCTATGATTGACTGCAGCCGCTCGTAGAATTGATCTTTAATGTCGTCGTTGCTATCATTGGTGGGTGCATAACATTAGATAATATTCATTGTGATCCCCTCCTTCTTTGTTTTGAATGATGCTTTGATGATTCTGGATCCGTGAGATTCCCATCCTACAAGTGCATTTCGTGCTACTTTGGACAGCATAAGAGCGACTCCCTGAGTGTGTGGAGCATTGTCCTCTTCGTGACCGGAGTATAGCAGCATCTCTCCCGTAGCTAGCCTTTTCTGTCCAGCTTGGGTCCAGTGGGTTTCGCTGATTCCCAGTACTGCTAAGTTGTATCTCCTCATTTCCATTGATATTTGACTGGTCTTCCCGGTTTCCCACATTGTTCGAACGTTCCATGTACCTATAAAAATTTTTGCTCTGGTTGTTAGAAGGGGCATCGGCCTCGTGGCTTCCGAAGGAACTCGGCTTTCACCATGAAGCGTCATAATTCTTCTAAATGAAGACCTTCTAACTCCCAGGGCAGAGTTTAAATGGTTTGGATTATTTTTTCTGGTAAGCGTTTTTTTAGCGAGTTAGTTTTCTACGGGATGGGGACGCTAACCCCATGCTCAACCCTCCTCCTTTACCCAGGCTTGGGACCGGCAGTAACTGTAGAAAAGCTACAGGCGGAGTTGATGCTAACAAACGAATGTATTGTAATTAAAATTAAAAATCGAGTAAACATTGATTGCTAAAGAATAATTATTTACTGAAAACACCATAGAAATACAATATGCTCTATAATCCAACCTGTTATGTCAGATTCACTTAACCGTAGCGGTGTAACAGGAATCCCCAAAGTAATTCTGAAAGAAAGATATAACAAAGAGTGATTATCCTAAGTTGGTCACCTCCCTAAGAGGTCGACATGCAGGCACTCATTACTGCAATAACCGCTTTCACCCACATTAGTCTTTGAAAACTTGTACATTCACAGGTCATGTTAATATACTGAATAGACTTGACTTCATTCTGTTAATCAGCACCTCCTTGTCAATTTCCGGGCTTCATTTCTTCCTCTATGACTTATCGTTACTTTCGTTTACACACTCACGCTAACATATTTATCTGCATACTAATTTATTCCGTTACTGTACCACAAATGATTTATATATTTAATGCAACAAATTAAAGAACTGAACAGTAATTCGACCATCAATAGTATTAAAATAATCCTTACTGAGAACAAGTGTGAGGACTCGCTCTTCAGAAAGATATTGCATTTGACATGCTACGTTTGTTTTTCTCTACTACTAAAGACACTGCTGATGTTTCATCCGCGACACTCGGTTAGTATTTTTGTTTGCGTGAGTTGTTCGATTCATTACGTTTTTCAAACGGCCGTCTTTTACCATAAACAATAAGAGTCTTTTGAAACGTGTAAGAATCCTAAAAATCACCCGTAACTTCACAATATCAACCATCAAGAGTTATATTTTTCCGTCGAAATCAGAAGTAGCAAATGAACTGAAATATATCTCAACAGGTATTAACTTATATCAATAGTAGAGTTCCCAATGTTTTCAAAATAAATGCCAATGGTCTTCCTCAATAATTAGCTGATTACTCAATTTTATAACGGTAAGAGTTATATTTTTCAAATAACTTCCAGAAAGCATAACTAAATTTTAACTAAATTCATAGGTAAAACCATTCATATCTGACAAGCATCAGCATAACATATTGACGGTTCACAAAAACAGTTTGCCTTTTTAATTTGAGTGTATCTGAGTGTATCCAACTCCCATATTAGGTTCCGATTTCCCGAAGTAATTCCTACAGAAGTTGTAGCCTGACGTCGATCACTTCATGGTCCTCGTGAGCCAGTCATGAGGAACTGAATTCTCAAATCACAGGCACACGCCAAGCTTTTAATAATGGTTTCGCTCATTCGTGCGCACTTCTGTCACTTTAATTCTTAGAACTATATATTTGGTGGCCAAACTGATAAGTAATTGCATAATGCAAACAAACTGATGAAACTTTAAGCATGATCTTGTACAAGCATTTTTGATTTCACTACTGTAACATAAAAATAACTAAAGGTAATGAAATGTAGGAAATTCTTAGTCCTTTCTAGAGTCGGTTAATAGATTATAATTTCCTGAAATAATATTAGTTAGCTACATTTTATTACAGTAATAAACTGATCAGTGCGAATAACTGAAATGCTTGCGTGCTGTAAAAATATACAAGATGATAACTAAAATCAACAAATCTGACTAATAACCTGGTAAATGGGCAAAATATCAGCCATTTGAATTGTCGTTCACCACAAACTTTACATGATCAAAAATTAATTACTATTTATGTATATATAACAGTATTATTTTCGTTTTTACATGGATTAGCTTCTGGTAGAGGTGTGTAAATGTCTCGCGATATTTATTGACCGAAAGCAATCGCTTCTTTCGTCCTAACCACTAGCTTAGACAACGATTATTAGCATTTCAGTTAGCCTAAATAATTTTTAAGAGTGAACAAAAGTTCTGGTCTTATAATTGGTAAAACTTACGCACTACACTCTAGGTCATGTTCATCGGTAATCTAAACCTTTCTTTAACAGTAGATTTAATCATTTGTAAGTGTTCTACCCACTTAAAACAATGCTTAAATTTTATACAAATATAAAATAATTTGATATCACAACCGGTTTAGTGATGGAATTGGTTAAAAGAAAAGAGGTCTGGTACAAAATATAACCACGTGTCGCTGATTACATTATAAAAGCACTGAGCCTAGTATTGCAGCGTTCTGAGGTATCGTAAGCAAGCGCTAATTTGGAGTTTATTAAGTTCTACTGATGCCTTCAGAATTTTAAAGCTTGTTGCATATCATTCTACGGTCTAATCTTTGTTTAATCCATAAAGTTCAGTTACTAATGGTTTATTGGGTTTTTGCTCCATAATACAAAGGTAAATGTGTTTTGTTAATAATTATAGAGGTTCATTAAACTAGTATCATCACAAAATTCATCCAAAAACCGCCTGCATTTTTAGATATATCAAAGAAATTGACAAAAAAAAACCTAACAAATGTTAAAAATTTCAATGATATTCACTATTGAAACGTAAAGATATTTTTAAGAATCTACTGCTCCTTCTAAAACTTTAATTCAAGTCTACAGGGTGCAGTTGTTGTTCAACGTAACTGCTTGAAATTTAGTTGCTGCTGTCAAGTTTGTTTCACTTTTTATCGGTGAAAATATGGTTAAAACACGGAATAGATTAACTTAAATCATTATCTTCATGTTCTTATATCAATTTATCATTTTTTACTCTAAAGCCTTAGCTAAAATTTCATTTTTATAAACTGCCATTAATGTTGCTGAGTTATATTACCTAAATTAAAACCTATGCAATTTTCATATTTAAGTACACGAATATTTTTACTGCTTTATTTTTAGACATGTTGTGCACTGTTATACTAATCTGTCGTAAATCAAACCATTTCAGTAATAATTGGTATTCTAAACGAGTCACATACCGTAAACTGTGTACACAAAAATATATTGACTTGGTTCTAAAATCTAGTGAATATCTTCCATCTGTAAACGAGCATTTTGGAAAATACATTTTATACAGTTACTAGGGATTAGTCTTTATTGCTCTTGAATATGCATAATCTGCAAATTTCAACTCATGGAAACAAAAGTCGAATATGTCGGTTATGGAGACATTATCGTGTACTACTATGGAAAGACTACCTGCTACGTCGTCGGGGTTTTTGGCTCATAGTAGCTGAGTCACTCTTTGTCTTAATATTTGTTGTTGCTATCGCTGTTATTCGATGGCGTTATGCAGTTGACACCAAACCATCATGTTACTTTCAAAGCCAAAGCATGTCAAGTATGGGATTATTGAATTATATCCAGTCGTTAGTCTGTAATTTCAATTACACATGTAATGAAAAAAATCCGCAGAGTTTTGTTACGTTAAATGGTGTCGCTCCCATGATTTATTTTCTTGATAACTTAACGCATGTGGTAGAAGATCCTCTTTTCAATAAATGGTGAGTATAATTTCTTATCTTTTTAAATTGAGACGCTATTTATCTTCTTTCGTCAGATTTTTCTGGTACTTAACATTATTTCTTGTTCTATGATAGGGAAGGGGTTTAAACAGGGGTGAAAGCTGCAGCTGATTTTAAATCATTAACATGATGCGTTGTTGATTTTGTCCTCTGTCAGACAAGCTAAAAACCTTGTTAGATAACATAGTAGGTGCATCATTTAGCCGTCGTTAAATGCATTTTTACTTTATTCCTATTTCTTCACTGAAACAGATCGTTCAATTAATTTATAAAACCATGTAAACACGGTTAAAACCAAGTAAGTTAGATTGACCAGACAATACTCTCTTTAAATGTTTAACTGACAACAGTTGTGTTTCATGATTTAATTAGTTCTGGTCAACGGATGGCATTGATTTACTCACCTTTCTTGGACGATCTACTCATTTGTTTGCTTAGTGATCTCAACAGATGTCCATATCTTAGTTATACAAAAGGCATTATCCAGTCACCAAGAATAATTATCAACGATCGAATTTTATGTTGTGCGCCATCGGTGTACATCAGTTATTATGCGAAGCCATTCCTAATCAGTATATGAACCCCATAGTTATCTTGTTTGTTAAGAAATCTTTAGTAACGAATCTTAGTGGATGATGAAGCTGAACTTTATAGGTTGTGTTGTTACTTCTACTGAGACTATCCCGAAAAGTCCAATTCGCCAAATAAATAATTTGTCGTATCATGATTAATTACCTTGCAGAATTATGGTCTACTTAGTTTTTAGCACTGCTCTT